TATATATATATATATATATATATATATATATATATATATTTTTAAATCTTGTATCACTTAGCTAAGCAAATGATTTCACATTATTTTGCTGAGTTAAAGTAGTTTTCTAATGGAATTTTTAGAGCCTCTTTCTCTGTCCACCAGCTCCCATATTTATAAACAGTTTCTGAACATCCCAAAGATACTGGCTTCAATCTAAATAAAAAAGCAAAGGGGAAAAAGTAAGAAACCTGAAATGTAGGAAGGGAAAACATAAGGATGTTGCTTGGAGACTTCAAAACTTAGGCTTTTAAATGAAGTCATAAATAATTTTTAAATTAGAGTATAATGAAAAACAGACATTTCAGAGCCCTAGTTTGGTTAAACCAGCAAGAGAAAATTGTGCTTAAGAAATAGATTGACCTTTTTAGAAACAGTAGCTGGATTTCTGTTAGGGAACATAAGATATTGAACTAAATCAATGGAACTGGAACTGGAGAACTAGGGAAAGAGAAAAAGAGAGGGACAGATGGAGGAAGGGAGTGGGGAAAGAGAGGTTTCCTTCTCCTGGACATAGAGTGTCTATGTATTGGACCAACCAGGCTAAAAGGCCATATTTCGAAGGGATGGAAAAGTAATGACCTGACATTACAGTGACCGCAAAGGTGTTAATCCAAAAGAGTATAGTTTGCCCATGGGACATCCGAGGACATAAACAATTTTATCAGTTACATAAAGCTGACATAAATAAATAGGTGCCCTTCCAGTTGGAAAGCATGTTGAGGTGGGTGGAAATGACAATCTGAGGGTCTTGTCAGCCCTTGGGGAGGTCATGCTCCCAGCTGAGTCTGCCCTTTCCTCCAAACTGGAGTCAATTGTGGCAAACTGTAACCCTTTAGCCCAAAGTTCTTTTCTGGCTAATGGATACTGCCATGCTTTTATGGGAAAGGGACTCAAATACACCATCAAACAGACCAAAATATCAAGTTGAGTGTGATCCTCATTCATTATGAGTATTGGTACATTAAAATAGGCTTATTTATTTCCATAGCTCTGGATTTGCTAACAAAGTGACTGAGTGATTGGAGCCTGGATATGGTGGAAGAGAATGGGTAGAAATTGTAGGGTCATCTTTGCTGAACTGTTAATGAAAAACACCATTCAATACTTGCTACTTAGAAAATTCAGTCTTAATGAGCTTTTTTCAGTTCCAAATTTTAACAGTTGACACAAAATACACTGTTAAACTGTGTTATCAATAATTGTAGAAAAATAGACATGTTTGATAAGGACATTCTAATAAAAGGTTCTTCTGGAGCATCCTCATTTAAAGATTCAGAGGCTCACATTACAAAAATGAGATTTGGTTCATGTTCCATCTCCAGCCACATTGACACCAAAGACAGTGAGAAATAGGGAAGGACCTCACACCTGGGTGCCCTGTCACAGATACAGAACTGACGTGTGTGTCTGACCAAAGGGTTGTCAAGGCTCTTCATTCAGTTGTGCTCAAGGGCCCCCAATTGCTCTTCCAACCAGACAACAGGGTGTGTGTTGTACTTTAAGCCTTAGTAATGGACTTAGAAAGGCCCATTGAGTCTTTAGGAGCTAAATTAGCAGACTTTTTGTAACCCCAGCTGATCTTGCTTTGTGCTACCATGCCTGGCCCTGCAACTCTGGTGATGCTGCAGGGATAGTGCCCCCAAGGCAAGAGGGCCCTTCCTAAGGCTACACTGAGGTAAGGCCACAGTACCTCCCCACAGCCTGGCAAGAAGTGTATGGGGCTCCCTCCTCCTCCTCAACTACAACCTCCTCTTTGGATTATGTGGAATGAATAAATGATTCAACAAATATTCAATGCGAAAAGTGAAATGTTGGCAAAAGGAAAGAGTTATGGCCAACAGTTTTGTTTTCCATACCGTCAGTGCCAAGAAGCAGTTGTCTTGATACAAGGTGTCAGAAGTGGGAGAAGAGAGACCCACCCCCCATGTCAAATTGAGGAGTTACTTTCCTTATCTCTGGGACATGCTTTTTAGTAGACAAGGTCCCCAAACTACAGTGTGAAGCCCTGTGATATCTGGTCAGGGAAGGCAAGGGCAGCAGGGAGGGACAGCTAGTTTGAGCTCTTTGACCTCCATGGTGCAAAGCCTCAAACTGAGCACAGCTGTAGAAGTTGAAAATGAACTTGGATCCAGTCAATGAATATTTATGATGGATGATTATGTTAGGGAACAAACAGTTTATAAATGCCAACTTAATGTGAAAGATCTGTTTCAGTGCAAAATCTCCACCTGCCCTTGAGGTTTTGTCTAAGATTCTCTTCCTTTTCTTATTTCTTCATTTGAAAATTTTTTCATTTTGAAAATTAGATTTTCCTTACAAAGTACTATTCCTTCCTTCCCATCTCCTCTCCTCTCCTTCCTTCCTTCCTTCCTTCCTTTCTTTCCTTCTTTCTTTCTTTCTTCTTTCTTTCTTTTTATCTTTGCAGATTAAAATGAATTAAGGCTGTAGTTTTTTGTTTTCTTTGATTGGGAGACACTTTGGATTTGATTTCTAACCTGTGGCATACTCTAGAAATATTTCTTAGACAGTCACCAAGATTGCTGATCTAATCTTTAAATATTGAACTCTGGAAATTTCATAATAATAAACTAATAATAATAATAATAAATACCAATGCAAGGAATGCTGATGGATAAGCCCCCCAGGTATAGGAAGAGTGCCAGATGGAGTCAAGGTGTGTGAGATCAGTGACTGCAATATACTTCGCCCATTACATGCCATTATGAATTTCATGACTTTAGACCCAAACCACCTTTTACTAATTTAACATGTCTCATTTTTTAACTGTGATTATAGAGTGAAAATAGTTGGAGAGTCAATGGTTTTGTAGAAAAATAGTTTCTCAAACTGTGGTACTACAAAGGGTGAGAGCTAACTTGAAAAGCATAAACACAAAATTCCCGTCATTGGTGGGAATTCCCTGGTGGTCCAGTGGTTAGGAGTTGGCACTCTCACTGCTGGGACCTTAGGTTTGATCCCTGGTCAGGGAAATAAGATCCTATAAGCTACGAGGTGTGTCAGAAAACAAAAACAAAACAAAACCAAAAAACACACATCATTGGTGACATGCCAGAGCATGTCCTCCTCCTGAAATTCTGCCCCAGGCTAGTCAGTGAGGTCTTGTTACTTACCTCAGTTTTGTAAACATTTCACAGTATATCAGCATACTGGTGGTGTGTTTTGCCATCTACTGAACCTCCAAACTTCTCCCAGACCTATGGCTTATTAGATTCAATTAAAGGGAACAGTGAGGTACCCAAACGGCTGCCAGTCTGGGACACGGAGCAAAGGCCATGCACTAAAGGGCCAGCGGTCAATGGGACCAAAGAAATCCAGAAAACAGGACATCAGAACAGAAATGCCTACTGTACTTTGGGAATCCTTTTTTTTTCTTTTAATCTTATTTCTAAAGTTATATATCTAAACCTACATTAATTTTACATCTATGTACATTATTTAGAAGTTTTGTTCTACAGTACTTTTGTACATGCTGGGTTTTATTACTAACTGCAAAAGAAAATAATTACATAAGGCATATATATGTACAGTATTTTGTCATTACCTCACCTGGGTCCTATAAATGCAATGCCCGCAGAGGGCAAGCACCTCGCCCTGTAGATGAAATTTATTGAGATGTATAAAACTGAGGGCTCAACTCTATGTCTCACTGCATGAATGAATAGGCACCAGAGACCTTCCTCATCATATCCCAGGTAAACTCTTTGATGCACTCTTTTGAGTGATCTGGTATTGTACAACACATGCAGGTAAGTAGCAGAAATCTCTAGGACTTGGATGTGTCGTATTCAGGGAGGAGACCAGGCTTGGGTCACAAATGAGGGCACATGACATCTTAACCCAATCTGAATCTGCCTTGTCAATCTGAATAACTGAGAGGGCAGGTAGATATTTTACACCTTGAAGATTTGTTTTCTGGTAATGCCAAACTTCAATATAAGGAAAGAACAAAGTAAGAGAGACAGAAAAGAAAGAGAATGAGAGACAAGGGAAGGTTGTGGGCAGAGAGGAGAAGGGGTGGCCCAGCCAGGGGACTAAACTTTGGATTCGCTCTCTAGATTCGCCACATCACCATTCCTCTCCGTCTGCTCCTCAGGGTTCTTTTCTTCCTCCTCAGTCTCCAGTTCTGCGTGTTGGTTGAGTTTGCTGGAGACGGACCAGCTCAGGGGCAGCTCAGCCCTGCTGGCTAACTCGGCCAGCTCTTTGGCACTGAGAGATGGGGTGCTGGTCTCGTAGGTCTCGTGGAAGCTGTTGTAGTCGACTTCGTAGAACCCGTCCTCCAGCGTCAGGACAGGGGTGAACCGGTACCCCCAGAGGATCTCACTAGTGATGTAGGAGCTTCGAGCTTGGCATGTCATCCCTGCAGAGAGGAGAACGGAGGCTTTAGTGTGTGTGTCTGTGGGCTTTGCATCGCCCAGGGGACTCAGGGAGACAGGCAGGACTGCTGCATGTGGTGTTGAGACTGTGACCCACATAGGCTGCTATAATAGGGAAGAACAGAATCTGACTCCATATTAAATCTGCTTCTTTTACTTAAACCTTGTATTCAATTGCTTTTGCTACAAGTTAAGAATGTTGCCTATAGCCTGAAATATACAGGATATCCCATTCTCAAAACTCTGACCTTTAAAGGTATAACACTTTCCCATTCATATAGAGGTAAAAAGTTGCAGAACAGAGGATAACATTTGTCTTGTTGGAGGTTTACAGGGGCATTATGACCTGACCTACATGGACAGCTGCAAGAACAAAGGATTCTGACACCAAGAAGTCTGCAACAACCAGCCACACCCCCTCCTCTTTTAGTATAAAAGAAGCCTGGATTCTAACTCAGGTAAGATGGTTCTTTGGGACACTAGTCCATCATCTTCTCGGTCTGCTGGCTTTCGAATAAAGTTGCTATTTCTTGCCTCAATGACTCATCTCTTGATTTATTGGCCTGCCGTGAGGCGAGCAGTACAAGTTTGGACTTGGTAACAGTGTCACAACTACAAGGAGGTGTCTTTCTTGTTGTAGACATGTGCTACCATGCAGGAGGGCATGTGGTGGAGATACCAGGCTTCTGCATGGAATCCCAGGGAGCAATGTGAAAGTTCTGGCTCACACCAGGCACTTGCAGGCACTTGCCTGCAAGGTCAGGCACACACACAGGAAAGCATGTGTGCACATGCACACAGGTGCACACTCATGTGGTTGTGCCTTGTCCACTTTTTACTCCAGGATCATCTGAGGTCATGACTTTTGTCTCACACTGCTTTTAGAGGTTTTGCCTGAGCCCTGCTGGGATTTGAGTCTTGGTTTTGGCCACAGACTTAGAATGAAATTTGACATTTTAAACTAAACTTATGCTGCCTTTCAGCTGGAGGCCACGGATTTGTGTTACCCTCCCATTGCCGTGACACAGAGGCAGCTACTGTGGTCCCCCAAATGAGGTTGGAAGGGATGCTGATCTGAATTTGTACTTTCCCCAGGACCAGTGGAGATGGTTGTTCAGATCGTGTGATAATATAATACTTTAAAGTCGCCCCCCATCTCACCCGCCCTTCCTGCTTATAGACAAGAAGACTTTTTCTAATTTGCACAAAAATGCCATATGAGCTACTGGCAGCCCAGGAGTCGGGGATAGCTTCCTTTTAAATATGAAAAGGCAGAACAAGGGAAATCCCACCCACCTCCTTAGAAAAGGAAACTAGGCAACAGGCTTGGTGTAAAAAACGGGGAAGACATTGGTGCATTTTTTTTCTGAGGTCGAAGAATTCTCTTATGAAACTTCTCAGGAAATGGAAGCATTCATTCAGCCATTCCTTCAGGGCTGACTTTCCATTAGCTCAGTAGGTCCAGTACCAAGGGCCCACAGTGCTTTTAGGGGCCCATGAAAATATTCATCTTTATGTAAAGTATATTACATATTACATAAGGTAGATTATATACTTTATATTATATTATATAATTATATAAAAATATAATTAGAAAATTTTTAAATGGAATAAAGGGCCCACAAAGGTAAAACCACGTAGGACTCACCATAGTCCTACTGCAGCCCTGTGTTCATTCATCCAGGGAAGCAGCCAGCCAGTCAGTCAATATATTATTCCTTAGGACAGCCTATAAGATATATTAGGCAATTGCTTTATGCTGAATGCAGGTGTGGTAAGGAGAAGAGGACACATGTAGGTTTTACACAGAAGCGTTCAGATCTACAAAATATTCCCACAGCAGTGCACCTGTTCCTCGTGGCTAGAAGAAGAATGTTGGGGCCCAGGGACTGAAGTGACTGACCCACAGCAGCTGGCAGAGTCTGAGCCCATACAGCCCTCATTCACATTCTGCTCTTCCTCTGAACCTCAAAACTGAATGCTACCCTTCTTCAGTGTTTCCCTGACTACCCAATTATTTGGTCTGCCCACCCCCATGCCTCTGAAACAAGTACAGCAGGGTTACTGGGCATTGTAAATCAAAGAACAACAGCATCTTGCTTTTATTTCTCAACATTTCTCTTCTGAGTTACCAACTCTTTATCTGTGTTTGGGAGTGATGGGGGAAGACAGGTGATGACAGGGTTCTGTGGGCTCAGAGTGAGGCACAAACAGGAAGTCAAAAGGAAAAGGTGATAAAATAACTTTCAAATTTTTCTTCCCATTGAGGAAGCATATGTTTATTGTGGCATGACTAGAAAACAGAGACAGGCAAATAAAATAAAATTCACCTAGATTTTGATTTCTGGCTATGTAAATGGCCAAATGGAACTAGAAATTAAAAATATAATTATTAAAATTAAAATCTATATGGAGGTTTAACATCCAATTGGAATTGACTGAAGAGAGAATTAGAAACGTGGGACACAGGTATGAAGAAACAACACAGGATGCAGCCAAGAGGTTGTCATTGGGACTGCTGGAGAAAGGACCTCTGAAAACCCTCTCCTCCATGAAAGCAATGAGAACGCTGGCAGAAACTGACAAAGCAAACTCTTTTAGAACTCTGTAAATGAACTCCAGGAGTGTTTGCTCAAGAAAAACGGCTGAATTGCAGTAAAAACCCTGAGCTTTGGGAAATTTTAACTTTCCCCCTACTCAGCTTTATGTTAGCCTTAAAAATCAACAGCCTGCAATCATGGTGCAAAAGAGCAGTCTAGCAACTGCTGGAGGGGTCAGAACAGGATTGGAGCTCTTTCAAAGCCTCATGCTCAGAATTGTCATCATTTGAAGTTTCTAGCAGTTCCCTAGAAAATCCCATTTACAAGGCTTGTCTCTTTTTGACTTGGGACAGAGTTTGCCCAATGCAAATAACTTGTTCCCTTGGGCTGTTTGTCAAAAACAAACAGTGGTTAAACTTTGTACTCTCCCCCAGCCCAAATTCCTTCATATTTCTAACCCCCAGTACCTCAGACTGTGACTTGTTTGAGAGAGGGTCTTTAAAGAGGTAATTAAGTTAAAATGAGGTCATTGGGAGGGGGTCCTAATTCAATATGACTAGTGTTGTTATAAGAAGAGGAGATAAGTTACACAGACATGTGTAGAGGAAATACCGTGTGAGGACATAGGGAGAAGATGGTCATCTCCATCTATAAGCCGAGGAGAGAGCAACCAACCCTGCCAACACCTTGATCTTGAACTTCCAGCCTCCAGAATTAGGAGACAATAAATTCCTGTTTAAGCCGCCCAAGTCTGTGGTACTTTGTTATGGCAGCCCTAGCAAATGAATGTGCTTATTGAATTCCACAGGGATAGTAAAATACCTTTTCATAGTACCACTTTAATAGGATTAATTTATGTAATCAAAAAGGAATAAGAGAGATTTAAACAAATGTTTGTGGATGCTTTCCCAATTTTTATTCACCTTTTGGTGTCCTAATTCATTTGAAAAGAGATGAAAAGAATGTTAATATATTTGTCTAACAATATCAAAAAGTATTTCTAGTGTAAGCTGATAATTTTCATTTTCTTCAGAAAGATTCCTGTTTTACATATTGACATTGGTCCCAGTCCATTCTTAGAAAAATTGTGATTTTTACTGATGTTGAAAAAGTAACAAAATAAAACCAACTAAGGTGCAGCCACCAAAATTACATCAGTGTGTGATAGTGGAGCCCTTGTGATTTTCGATGTCACTTAACTCACTGAAGTGTGACCGTGACTCTGAGACCAATTTTTCACGGATTGTGTTTCAGGCTTTGAAATGAGTGTGAGCTGAGGATGTAGAATTTTCTTTGCTTAATAAAAAAGACTAAAAATGAAAAACATGAAAATATCTACTACACTAATAATGGAAAACAGGAATGACACATGTATATTTACCATGCACATAAAAGTTTAGATAATACCTGTCTATGTATGTACAGAAATATAAAGTAAAAGGAGACCGCCTGGTCATCAGAAAAAAAAAAAAAAGATTCAATCAGTGTGTATGCAAGTTGTGTTTGTTTTTCATATCAGAAAGATCATTACGGTGTCCTGAGGTAGGTTTTTTTTTTTTAATTAATTAATTAATTTTTGGCTGCACTGGGTCTTTGTTGCTGTGCGCACGTCTTCTCTTGTTGCGGCGAGCGGGGGTTACTCTTTGTTGCGGTGCGTGTGCTTCTCATTGCAGTGGCTTCTCTTACTGTGAAGCACGGGCTCTAGGCACATGAGCTTCAGAAGCTGTGGCATGCAGACTCAGTAGCTGTGGCTCGCGGGCTCTGGAGTGCAGGCTCAGTAGCTGTGGCGCAGGGGCTTAGCTGCTCCACGGTATGTGGGATTTTCCTGGACCAGGGCTCGAACCCGTGTCCCCTGCACTGGCAGGTGGATTCTTAACCACTGCATCACCAAGGAAGCCACTGAGGTAGGTTTTTGAAGTGAGTGAAGTAATCTCTGGAAAAAGAGAAGCTCCTTTTGTAGAGATGAATAAAACCTGAAAAATCTGATCTCCAAGTTCAGATCACAGCCTTTACTCTGAGCATGCTGGCTGTCTTGCCATTTGCATTTATATTTTTATGCCTGTATGTGTGCTATTTGCTTTATCTTGAATGCCCTTCCCCTGGTGGACTCCTGTTCATCTTTCAAGAGCTGATTTATTATCTCCTTTCTAAAGCCCTCTGTGACCGACCCCACTTGAGTTGGAACTAGGAGCCCACGGCTATCAGGATATTTCAGTGACACCCCATCACAGCCTTCTCACAGCCTTTGCAGCTCATGCTAAGTGTCTGGTTTCCTTGTTGGACTGTGGATGCCTCAAAGTTCGTTTATCTTCTTTATTTCCATATTCCTAGCATTTACATAGTGCTTCAACATTGGAGGTTCCCCCCAAATACCTGTTGTTAAGTGAAGAGAATGGACCTAAGGAACTATAGAGAAATGTTGACTGGAAATGTCTGACATGTAT